GTCTTTGAATTCAGTCCTCTGTAGGTTGATAATTTGCATTTCCATCCAATGGGGCATCCTTACGTTCCTAACACATTACCCAGTCCATATCAGTATAGATATCCAACATGATATTCTTCCCTGTTGGGATTGGATGTGTTTTCAAAGTGTTCCTTTACATTTTTCTGAGCAGTGTATATATTTTTATATATAGTATATATATACATTTTTGTTTCTTTTTTTTTTACAATCATTCTTTAAAATGAGAAAGATGCCGATAAGGTTTGATTCTGATACAGTTGGTACTACATATAAGCAAAAGAGTCAGTTATTGTTACATAATCAACAAATGAACACTTGCTGAAGAGGCATTTTATAAATGGTGATCCTCCAGCAATAAGATAAAAATCTTTTTTTACTGTGACCCAATTGTGAGTATCATGCCAAAACCTCTATAAAAATATTCCTACTAAGCCACCTAGTTTAATTTACTAGGTGGCTAGTTATGGATCAAGAATCTTGTTTTCAAGGTTGGGGTTGACAAGAATAAATTTTTTCCAACCTGTTTCCTATATTTCATGTATAATATTGACTATGCTGCAATTGAGAAAATAGATTTTAAGATCTATGAACATCCATTTTTTGCTTAGCCATTAAAAACTGAGCTCTAGAGAGATATAAAAGGCACAAATTGATGCAACCCAGTTTTCATTAATAGTTCTAATTTTGACTTGACAACAGCCTTTTGCAATCCCCTATAGGAAAGCACTTGGAGGGATGAGGAGAGTTAGGACTGGGATCGGGTCACTTGTTATGCATGCAAATGTGCTTGAAAAGGAACCTGCTGATAGGAAGAAGAGAAAAAGAGCCTATTATCACCGAATGTGGTCTTGTCTTGATAGTATTAGTATGACTTCGATCAGGTATGCATCTAAGATAATTCAGAATTCACTAACCAGCGAATTTTACCTGCAGTTGGCTTCCTTCTGACCTGCATTTGAAATGCTTCAAACAGTGTTTTCATTCTTATAGACTTGTATGATAATTCAAAATGTGTTTAAAAAAGAACAAAATTCCATTGACAGGGGCCCAAGCAAAGATTAGGCTGCTGCTGCTTTTGACTGCCCAGTCAGCATGCTGGGGGTGGAAAGAAGATACTAATGCATTACTTCTACAGCCTATAGCTGTAACAGAGAAAGTGGTGTCATCTCCTGGCTGTGTTGCATGGTAGGGCTATGTAACTCTAGATACAGAGAAATACAAATCATTTGGCAGGTAAAGCAATTCCCTTATATGTTTCATCTGTGTATGTAGCGGTTTGTCTAAAGTTCAGCTTTAGCATGTTTTTTCTTGTAATTGTATTAGTTGCATGAGTATGATTATTGTTTATATTATTTATTGTTTTTTTTTTGGTTTTTTTTTCAGAATGTGTTTGGTGAGAAGCCCACAATCCCAGAATACAAAGTTGCTGCAATCCAGAAGTCACGCTTCATTCTCCTGCACTATGGCACTTTTAAGGCTGGCTGGGACTGGCTGATTCTCTTGGCCACATTCTATGTTGCTGTGACGGTCCCATACAACGTCTGCTTTGCTGCTGCTCGAGATGACAACTCTTCTTCTCGTAGCCCGCCCAGCGTCAGCGACATCTTTGTTGAAATTCTTTTTATGCTTGGTATGACATATCTTGGATGTGGGTTGGGGGTTGAGTGAATTGATACATATCGCTGTAGGCTAGCACTAAATACTGTATTACAAGTAAGGGTTATGTGGATTTTGAAAGTATATCTCTGATATTGTACAAATAATGTTATGCTATCAAGCAAAACCATGACCGTCAGGGCTCCAGGTATGACCAGAGGTATGTGAACTGACGCAGGGCAACGCAGGCTTCAGATATGTTATAAACAATATAATTTATTAATACTAACAATACATAAACGCAGTGCAATACTAAAACATAACACAGTGCAAACGAACCAAACCACCCACAGATAACAATACATACAATGCAAGTGTAGTCAGGCAGGCTGGGTCAATAACAATCGGGCAGGTAGGAACAGGAGGAGCAGGCAGAGAGTAGTCAGGTCACGAGCCGGGTATAGCAACTACGGGCAGGTAGGTACAGGGGGTCAGGCAGAGAATGGTCGGGGTCACAAGCCAGGGATCAAACAGGAGAAGTCAGCAGAGGTTCGGATCAGGCAGGGTCGGCAACAAATCAGTCAGACAGGAATAGGAACAGGAACAGGAATGCAGGTAACAAGATACAGGGGCCCATGGAAAAACACACACCAAGGCACAGACAGCAGGTCTGGCCATCCCTTAAATACACCTGCAATCAGCCTCAGGTGTTTTGGCTGACTGCAGGGTTGAGTCTCTGATTGCTGAGAGCTCCCGCTGGCCAGCCCTGGTACTGCAGCCCACAAGGCAGGTGAGTCCCACCATTATTGGCAAGTCCATTCCTGACACATGACAGAGTTCGTGAGAGTACTTGCAGGTCACTTGGATGTTATCTGCAAGGCAGGAAATTATGAACTGGTTTGATGTATGTTTTACAGAAAATCCAAACTATGTGGATAAACTATCAGAATTATTAATTGTTGAACATCTCTCATTCTAATAGCAATGTGGTTATGTAGTATCTTGTCATTTTCTCATTATCTATGATATGCACGGTATATTATTATTATTCAGGATTTATATAGTGCTAATAGTTTGGGCAGCACTTTACAACATGAGGGCAGGCAGTACAGTTACAATACAATTCAATACAGGAGGAATCAGAAGGCCCTGCTCATTAGAGCTTACAATCTGTTGTTATCTCTACTGGGCGTTTAGCTTGCCCACAAGATCATCGGTTGAAGGATGGAGAGCAGAAAATCCAACAATTTACTACAAGACCCCCTCAATTTTTTCACCTCTGTGTCTTCTTTGTGAACAATTGTCTTTATCATATTGCTGAATAGAGTCAGGAGATCTGAACCAAACCTACTTAATAAGCTTACCAGGCCCTGCGACTGAGTAAATGAGAAGTACAGTGAGAAAACACATATGGACTAGTTGGGGCTGAGAAATATTTCTTTACTTAGGTGGCAAGTTACTTTAGTTTACACATCTTGATATGAAGCAGCGATTTGCAGTTTTCAGAAAGGGATCTGAACCATAAGTTTAAAAATCCAGTTTCTCTTTTTTTTTATCAGCGATTAACTCTTTGCTTTATAATATGTAACCTCTGGAAATTATGTTTCTTACTATGCTAGTATATAATAAATATATTACTTGGACCCTCCATATGTGGTCCTTGTTGTCCTTGTGGCCAAAAACTGAAATTTAATGAGATCCAAAGTTGTAAGTAAGGTTTTATCGTGTTACATATTGTTCTAGTTGAGCAGTTTCTAAAAGCTAAAATTAAAAACATGATGAACCCATAGTTACATTTTGACAAAATGCAACAATTTTATACACAGAATTAATTTTCATATACTGTATTTGAAGGTTGTTCCTTTTATTTAAACCTAAACTTAAACCTAGAAGAGAAGATGAATTCCTTTATTAAGACATAGGGTTAGAAACCCATATAAACAGACCAGCTTTTCTTTAGTTTTGGTTAGTGGATTTTGTCAGTCCCTATAGTGGTGTAATCATTTCTGAAATTAAATAGGTTCAATCCTTGGTGGATCTACTGTAGCTCCATATGGTGTGATCCTTTTAAACTCAGACTTCTGATTCTTTTCATTTTCACCTGTAATTTCACCACAAATAAGCTATCAGCTCGATGAGTTCACAAAACACCAACGATGTCGTATGCATGCATCTTCATTTGGCCATGCTTTTTTCAACATGTGAACCAACCATAAGTTCATATGGTGATATGCTACTAATGCCAAGAGTGAGGGACTGGAGAAACAATCTCAGCTAATTTTACATTTTCAGTCTCTTACAATGAATCCTTTCATCAGCATCCCTCTTTTGCATCTACTATCAGCATCTCCCACCTTGGTCTTGCTTGAGTGCTATTTTTCTTGAATTGTCTTGCCTACTGTCATTCTACCAAATCCTTTTAGTCTCATTCTTCACTCGAATTTCTTCTGTCTCATTAATCCCCACATTTTCTATATTTTTCTTTAATTTCTAAATTGCTCTTCCTCCCTGCCCCCAATCCCCTCCTATATCTTCAGTGTCTGTCAGCATACAGGAGCTTTTCTTCCTTCTGGTGACATTATGAACCTTACATGCTTTTTGCCAGCAAAGGAACTGATTGGCCTCTCTGTAAATGGACTGGAAGAGGCTAATACTACATCAAAATACACTTAATGATGTAATAATAGTTACAGATCCTAATTTGTTTATTTTAAATCTGCCTAGAATTCAGCTTTAATTCTGCCTCTTGCTTTATAGTGAGGAGTTGGTTAGGTGCTGCCAGGTTTTCTAAGGAGCAATTTACTATATAAGCTTAGTAATAGCCATCTACATTATGGGATCTGTGCTTCTTATCTTTTATATGGTGCCCTGACAGTTGCTTGTCTGGTGAGGCTGAAAAAAAAGAATCCACAGAGCTCAAAAGATCAGGAGGTTCATTTATTAGGCAAATTAAGTGGTCACCTTACAGGGGCCTCATGGCTGCTTAATTTGCCTAACACAGTGTTTCTCAACCGGGATTCTGCAGGCAGGCAGGCAGGCAGCTGACAGGCAGATTGCATGGACACACGTGCAGGGAAGCTGCTGGCTGTAGCGTGCTGTTCCCTGCCGGCACCTCCTCCCCTCCTGTCCATCCCAGTGCTTGTATGTAACATAATATGGGATGGACAGGATAGGAGGAGGGGCCGACAGGGAACAGCGCACCACTGGAGGACTCTCTTGAAAGCCACCTCTGAAGCCGGGTAGTAGAAGAAGGAGGCCGGTATGGTAGTGTACCCAGCTGTGTCCCACACACTGTGCCCAACAATCTGTCCCATACAATGTGCCCTGTCCCATGTAAAGTGCTCTCTCCCATGTAAAGTTCTCTGTCCCATATAATGTGCACTGTCCAGGGGCAGACTGACCATTTGGAAACTCGGGCACTGCCTGAGGGCCCGGGGTCAGTAGGGGGCCCCATGAGATGCCCCTGGTACCTTTTTCATAGGCTTTTTTGAGTTTGGGCAAGGATACAGGGGCCCCATGATCCCCTATTGCCCGGGAGCCCCATGAGTTGTCAGTCCGCCCTGGCACTGTCCCATGTAAAGTGCCCTGTTCCATGTAATGTGATCTGTCCCATGTATTGTTCCCTTTCCCATGTAAAGTGTCCTGTCCCATGTAATGTGCCCTGTCCCATGTGAAATGTCATGTCCAATATAATGTGCCCATCCCATGTAATGTGCCCTGTCCCTTGTAATGTGCTCTTTTTCATGTATTGTGTCCTGTCCCATGTAATGTGCTCTGTGCCCTGTCCCATGTAATGTGTCCTGTCCCATGTAATGTGCCTTGTCCTATGTAATGTGCTCTGTCCCATGTAATGTGCCCCATCCCATGTAAAGTACCTTCTCCCATGTAATGTGCTCTTTTCCATGTAATGTGTCCTGTCCCATGTAATGCGCTCTGTGCCCTGTTCCATGTAATGTGCCCTGTGCCCTGTTCCATGTAATGTGTCCTGTCCCAAGTAATGTGCTATGTCCCATGTAATGTGCCCTGTGCTCTGTCCCATTTAAAATGCCATGTGCTTTGTTCCATGTAATGTGCCCTGTCCTGTACTATGTGCCCTTTCTCATGTAATGTGGCCTGTACCATGTAATGTGCCCTATCCCATGCAATGTGTCCTGTGCTCTGTCCCATGCTATGTGCCCTGTCCCATGTAATGTGCCCTGTCCAATGTTTGCACCCTGCTCCCACAGAATGTGCCTTGCCCTCATGTAATGTGTCTTGCCTCCACATAATGTGACTTGCCCTAATGTAATGTTCCTTGCCTCCGCGTAATGTGCCCTGCCTCCACATAACGTGACTTGCCCTAATGTAATGTTCCTTGCCTCCACGTAATGTGCCCTGCTCTTGTGTAATGTACCCTGTTCCCACATAATGTGCCCTGCCTCCATGTAATGTGCCTTGTTCCCACATAATATGCCCTGCCTTCATGTAATGTGCCCAGTTCCCACTTAATGTGCCCTGCCTCCATGTAATGTCTCATGCTTCCACTCCCTGGCCTAACACAGAGAAGAGAGTTAAGGGTTACAGAACACCTAAATTGTTAGCCCCACTCCTGGAACACCAACGGTTGTCTTACCCATCCCCCAGTTAAATTTTATCGCTTGAATTATTTTTCCCATTAAGGACATGAGTGGGGCCTCATGTCTAAATTTGGCCTAAGGCCTCACAAAGCCTAGAGCAAACTCTGCAAAAGATCCTGTGTTTTTACAACCATCTGTACAAAAGTCTGTCTCTCCATTCTTCCACTGCCACTCTGCAGTGCCATTTCAAAAGTGATCAGATCTCCACTTTGGCCAACCAGCCCCTACAAAGGAAAATAGATGTTAGAAACAATAAAATGACACTGTTTGACACTGGGGATGAGCCAACAATTCACTCCGAACCTAGGTTCGGACTGAACTTTGGTTGTTCAGACAAACACCTGAACTTTAGCCCATTCAGCCCCCTGTTCTGGAGAGGCTCTGCGCCATATGTAGAAACACATTTCTATCAGTTTTAAATATGACATGTTCCAGCTATCACTGGTTCCCTAGTAGAGTTGGTCTTGATGAACATCGGCCGTTTGTGTGCATTGTAATTGGCCAAATGTCAATCACAACGCATGATGATGTCACAAGGGGGCAGGGTCACCCAGGCACAGCTGTCAAATGGGGGGGGGGAGTGACAAGAGTGGAAAGTTTTTTTTTTTTTTTTTTTTTTTTTTGGGGGTTTTTTTTGGGTCAGCAGTGGTGGTAGGCATTGTGATTGACGTTGGGTCTACCTCGGGGGACATTTTTTTAAACTTTTGTTTTTAATAAAGGGCTTGTCAAAGACTGTCTTCTGTCATTTTTACACTACACTTCTTTTTTGTGAATGAGTAGAGGTATCATGTGTACCCCATATTCATTCACATGGGGGGGCTGGGATCTGGGGGATTCCAAATTCCTATAAGTTCCCAACAGCAGACCTCCACAACCTCCAGCCATGGTCATGGGGAAGAGGCCCTTGTCCCCATCAACATGGGGACAAGGTGCTTTGGGGGAGAGCCCCCCGCCCCAAAGCACCCCCCATGTTGAGGGTATGTGACCTGGTATGGTTCAACAGAGGGGACCCCCTCCCTTCCTGACTTGCCAGGCTGCATATTCAGATAAGGGTCTGGTATGGAGTTTGGGGGGAACGCCCACACCATTTTTTTTTTACATTTTGGCATGGGGGTTCTGGCAAGAGCTCTTATATGTCTGTCATTTTCACCAGGATCTTAGAGGTGTCATCTCCCTCCTTTTTTAATTCACTGAATGTAGGTTTCTCCTGGTTTCACTCACTTAAGAAGGTTATTTGAGCATGGACTTTTGTATCCAACAGGCTTTAACACTATTTAGCGCTGCAACTTTTTTTGGTATATAATTTCAATTGACAGTCATTGCCAATTTTGCGAAAAAAGCAGCACAGAAAACTCCCCTAAAGGTCTCTTTTAACAAAGAACCTGTCAAAATTCTTTGTAAATTTCAATGCATCACAGAGATATGTCCCTTCACAGACAGGATTAGGACATCGATTCACTTTAAGCATTTAAAAATAAGCTTACCTGATATAAAAATAAGTGCTCTTTGCCAAATAGATTTGTAAAACATTTTTTGTATTGGTACATGTACATGTACGTAGGGCAGTGCCCACCCCAACTATGTTTTGACACCCCCTTTCCAATTAGCCAATAAAATTGGATTTTTAGTTTGACTGATTGGGCTCCCTTTCATTTCAGTGGGTTCAGGTACAGCATCCGAGCTTCTATGAAGTTCACCAAACTTTGCTCAAACCAAACCCGGAGTAATTTGACTCATCACTATTTGACACCGAATACATTACACATTTTCATAAAGACATTAATTTAATTAATTGCCAGTGAAAGAAAACTCTCATACTTACACCTGTTACTTTCAAATAGTTTTTGTCATGAACCTGCTTGGCAGATTCTAGTCATTGCAGCTAATAATAAATGGTCCATCCCCTTTGAGCAGTAACCCTAGCTACCATTAGCATTATATAATGTCATCTGTCAAGCAAAACTAAAACTGTTTTTGAAAAATGAACTGCAAAGTAGCTGCATGTTGCCAGAAGCAAATCACTTGCATAGTAATAGTTTGATGGTGACAGAGGTGATCGAAGAACAAATAATTAAAGAAACAGTACAAGCGTAGTTGATATGTAAAAGAAATGGGAAAGTCACTTAGCTAAAGCTAAGGTCCTGCAGTGACACAAATCATCATGCTACATCTTCAGTTTTATTGCGTTATCCCTACAATTTAATATAAGCCTGCAAAATTCTAATACTTTTTTGAGAGCATTATGGCACAAGTTGCATTTCCCAATATTCAAGCCTTTTGCAGATATTGGACCAACTAAACATTAATGAGACCCAGCAACCATAACACCACAGGTCAACTTTAATAAAATATATCTAAAGCTCTAAAGCATAAAATGCTAAAACCTTTGTCAGTTTTGATTTGTTTTTGCTTTTTTTTATTTCATATGTCTGTGTTTTGTACAGTTGATTTCTTATCCTGCAGAAAACAAGTGAGCCAAAAATCCCCAAAACAGTTGTCACAGATGTCACCACTGGAAAATTACCCTTTTATCTCATTTTTGGCTACAACTGTAAAGTTTTGGATTTCCAAAACTTTTCTGTGATCACTAGGACAAATAAGATCAAAGTGAGAGATGAATCTGCAATTGTGCCACCAGAGATTAGAATTTTACCATACCTCATGGCTTGTGTGCATAATTTGCATTTTCCATTAAAAAAGCAGGACATATTTTGTTCCCATAACCACTTGCTGTACTTTGCTCCAGCAGAAATACAAAATATGAGAAGAAAATGTTTTTAAAAACCCAACACAAAAAAGGAAGTAAAAATAAGAGGCTTTGTTTCCTGTGGGACAAAATGAGTGGTACATATGTTGGAGTGCCCATGTGGATTTCAATACTTTGGAAGGAACTCTAGGGGGCAGAATAAGAAAGCATGCATATAAGATTAAAAAAGGCTACAGAAAGCATCATGTCTCTAATCATTTTAGGACACATCATAACAAAAACTTCAGCCTTCCACAATTTTTGGGAGTCGAAAAAATCCAAAGACATTGGAGGGGTGGCAGTTTTATAAGGAGAAGTCACTGTTCTAATGAGTGAGAGAGATTATTACATTTTGTGCCATCTATGCTATCCTTGGTAGGTGGGTGGTATTGATAGCCCCCCTTTTTTGCATAGGGGGTCCTAACACTATTGCAATTAGGTGAAGATTTGATAATTTTTGGTTAGAATAGATTAGGTGAGGTGAGGTTTTGATATATGCACCAAGTAGTGGACAATGTTTGTTGGATGTGTTTTGATTATCCTTCCTAGAGGTGGTTAGTGTGGAACAGTTTGGTAGTGTGAGTTTTGTCACCTTCATGAAATAAATAGATTTTAATAAGATTTTTATAGGATTTGGTAGCGGCATTCCCCGGTACATGTTTATCAACTTCTCCCCGTTTTTCATATATACATATATGCATTTTCTGTGAATTGGTTTTGCTATTTTTTTAGATCCAGGCTCCATTTTTCTGGTGATTTGACTGGAAGACATACTTTGGGAAAATGGCACTGGTTGGGTTGTTTATGAGTGGTTGCTTAGTGACTAGGGGAGGGTCTGTATAAATGGTGGTGCACTCTGATTGGCTGCCAGCTTCTGAGGAAGCCCTTCTTGAGGATGCAACGCGTTAAGCAGGGTGGCTATGGTGACTCCGTCGTGCAGGGGGATAGAGCAATCTCGTCAGTCAGTTGGAGGAGTGAGTTGATTGTATTGTTGCGGATGCCGCTGTGATAAGAGATGTGTCTGCTTACTACCAATTTTTTGTTAGTGCAATGATTTGAGAAATTAGTGGTGATCACATACAGAAAGCACTAGATGTCCTTTTGTATTCTTTTATGAGGAATATTGCCCTCTATTGGGATCAGAGAGTTGGGTGGAGTTTGTGGGATTATTTGAAGCATCCTCCATTTAAATTGACACACAAGCTGAGAATCC